TTTGGGGAACAGTGAAATAATAGCTCTCAGTTGATTAACCCTTTTTTAAAGATTTGCTGATAAATGATCACAGATTTTTTCATACCATTTGCATATTAAATAACTGAATAAATTAATAAGTACTTCATTGTGACTTCATTTAGTATCTTAGCTTCTTGCTAAGATACTAAAAACTGAAATTTTTAGGTTGTAGTTTTATGGCACAAAATGAAGAACATTGACTTGAGTAGAAGTCATCCCATCAAAATATCATTCTACTATATTTCTTTTTTTAATATACCTTTATTTTATTTATTTATTTTTATGTGGTGCTATCAAACCCAGCATGTCCCATGTGCTAGGTGAGTGCTCTGCCGCTAAACCACAACCCCATCCCCATTATTATACTATATTTAGTTTAAGGAAAGAGACATTCTCTGCTTAAAGCCACAGATAAAAATTAATGGATCAACATAGGAAATTTTACAGTGTGTTACCAAAATGAATTAATAAAGAAAAGATGTAACTGAGATAAGATCCACATTCTAAACATTTATTTATGCTGTAAGTACACATTCCTAGTGCTTATTTTAAGTATTATAGCTTCCCTTCCACTCACTTGAAAAACACCCATTTTTTGTTATAATCTCCACATTTACTGAGATTTGTATTATTAGGATTTATGATATATTGAATTAAAAAGCAACATATTTAGGGCTATACTTTTGAGAAATTAACTTTGGCAGTGAGATAATCCTGATTAAATTTCATAGTAGATCAATTATGTCTAACAACTGAGAAGAAGCAGTCTGTCTTCAGAAGCAAATAATGGGAATAATTGACTTTTTTTTTTTTAATTACAGGACTATGTTTAGGAAAATAAATGGATTTTGCTAGGGCCCAGATTTTAAAGTACTATATACTTTGTATGGCTAAAACCAACTTTCTAACTTGTTATACTCACTTTGACCATCTTTTGTGTCTATAGATCAGGATTAAAAGCCTTAAAATACAGTTGACCTTCTACATCCTTGGATTCAACCAATTGTGGATCAGAAATATTAAAAACTAGTTCACTTGAATTGAACATGTTCAGATTTTTTTCTTGTCATCATTCCTTAAACAATACAGTTGTTACAAACAACTTTTTACATAGCATTTATGTTGTGTTATTATAAGTCATCTAGAGATGATTTAAGGTATACAGGAGGATGAAGTGGCTTATATGCAAATGCTACATCATTTTATTTAAGGGATTTGAGCATAAAGAGGATTTTGATATCTGGGAAAGGTCCTATAACAATTCCCTTCAGATACTGAGGAATGCCTGTATATTGACACAATTTTTTTTTTAAAGAGAGAGAATTTTTAATATTTTTTAGTTTTCGGTGGACACAACATCTTTATTTTATATTTTTTTATGTGGTGCTAAGGATTGAACCCAGCGCCCTGCGCATGCCAGGCGAGCGCGCTACCGCTTGAGCTACATCCCCAGCCCATTATATTTTTTTTCCTTTGTATAATTCCCATTTCTTTCTTGGGTCTTTTAGCTTCACAACGAAGAGGGGATGCTTAGATAGATTGCTTTTACTGCAGAATGTAAACTTATCTAGGATTATTCTGGCAGGTCAGAATCTTCTTTTTAATCTTCTTTTAACAGGAGGTACTAGAGAGATCTGACAACATAGACTTAAATCTGGTTTAATGGTGCTTACCACTAAAGTTGTTATGTTTTCAGAGAGCCTTATTATTGCTCTTGACTACAAAGTTTATGAAGGAGTAGAAATTTGAAGAAGTAGAGAGTAATGGACTATGAGAATATGGGAGACAAAGGAATTTAGATGAATATTTTAGTTTTATGAAGTGAAGATAATAATAAATAAAACTATTCTGTCTACATCAATCAGTTGCCTATACTTTTTACGGACCTATTCTGAAACCACAAAGATGCCATCACTGTGTGTTTTCTTGCTCTTTTTAAAATTAGTTCTTTTTCATTTCTTATACTGTGCTCTCTAATGTAGCTATTTAAAAATCAGAGATATAATTTCCAGGATCAAAACTATATCCTTGGGTGTGGATATACATTTGTTAGCATACTTTGTTTCTGGTCATTTCTAAAGTGGACCTGAGCTTCTCTTGAATTATTGATAAGAGTTGCTTCTTCTCTTCTCCCTCCTCCCCATTTTCCTCTCATTTAGATTAATTAAGCCCTGAAAAATTACTAGAAGATTATTGAATGTGGTGGATGAAATAATTGAATTTGGCTTTTCCCTGGAGAGGATGATGATAATAAGGTGCTTACAGTGTGTCATGCACTGTTTTTAGTCTTTTCTTCACAACAACAATATGAAATAAAACCTATTATTATTCCGTTGCATGCATGAGGAAAGGTTAGAATAGCTGTGATTTTTGGCAGGATTGTTATTGAGATATTTTTATACTACACACATATATATGCATACTCCTTATGTGTATTATTCATAAGAAGGAAATAACAATAAATGGATAAAATCAAAGTGCTAAAAGGGAGGGTTTTTTTCTTTAAGGAAAAAAAAAGGTGCACAAGTGACATGGTTCTATTTTAAATGCAGTAAAACTAGAAACAATGTAGTGATAAATATTTAAAAGTGTTATATACAATATTTTTTTTATGCTCCTATCAGAATAATGGGCAATGTTTTCATTGGAAAGATATGTTTTAAAAAATGGTAAGTAAAAAGACCTCACAAATTTATATCCACACTGACAGTTACAAAAATGTATCTGCATGGCACTTCACAACAAATATTTTTATCTCTTTTTATGCAATGTTGAGAAGATAACAGGGCAGTCAGAATAAGAGTGCAGCAGGTGTGTTCTGGAAAGAAGAGATGGCTAGTTGGGTAATGGAAACAATATATTTTAAGAAGACTGTAATTGAACTATAAAAATAATAAAGTAAAGGTGAATTGAAGGACACTCTGCAAAGTGGACTATCTATACTGCGTTAAATGTTCCAGAAGATCTTCAGGAATAAAATTAAGTTCCCTAGAAATGGAAAATCTCCCAGAAAAGCATTTCCCCAAAGTGCTTGGGTACATCATTGTTTATAAAGGTTAACAGGTGTTACCTGTAAATAAAAGCACAGAGAAGAAAATTTGGGAAATGCTAGTTTTATAAAAATTAAAGATTCTTCTGTGTGGGGTTCATTAGCACCTCTAACAAGCATATTCCAGGTGAGTGGGGTGGAAGCAGAATATTGAGTGCATCATTCCATAGACTTGGTTGCCTGAGACCACAGAATTGTTTGCTTCCTATTACAGGAATAGCATTCTTTGAAATGTATACTAGGAAACATTGTGATGTTACTGGAGGTGTCCATGAACAAAGGTGAGGGTTGTGCATAGCAGGTTACTAAGCTATTCAGTAGCTTGAGGTAATAAGATAAAATGTATCTTAGCAGAAATAGTCCATGAGTGATGACTGGGAGTTTCCTGGAACCATACATATTTTGAGTTAATAATCCATGAAAATAAATTCTACTCAATATAAAAGTAATTGTTGTTTTTTAATATCAAAAGTATGCTGTATGGGAGAATAGTCAAACTTGAGAATGTATTTGATTTGGTCCTACTCTGTTAGGATAAAAGGTAGCATATAGCTCTTAACTGATTTTAAGGAATTGGCAGGTTATATTTCTATTTAAGTATAACCTGATGGAATTTTCTATAATCTTATCTCCCACTCAGTCTTTACTAGCACTACCAAGGTCAAGGTTGCCAATAAACCTCTAAAGATGAGTAGATCAATGGCCACATTCTGTTTTCAGTTTAGTGTAGCTCTTTGCACCTTCTAGCTCTGTTGTCTCTCATCTCTCCTGGAAACTGTCTTCTCTATTGGCTTCCATGACATTGCACTTGCATGGGCTTAGTCCTCTTAGACTGGTACTTATCAATTCACTTTGCAATTTCCTCTTCTACTGACTTCTGAATGTTTTGCACCCTGGGGCTCAGTTTTGCCTTCTTTTCTTTTTAGGTGATGTCCTTTAGTCTGTGACTCTCTCTACATGGTGATAATACCCAAATCTATTTTCTTTAAACACTAAACGTGCTCAAGCTGTGGATATCTGCTTTATCCTTAACTGCATGTCAAATGATTTACACATCATCAAGCTTAATGTGTCCAAAATGAAATTTTTATTATCTCTACTTCCCAGCTTCTTTAGGAAAAAAAAATTTTTTTTTTCAATGCTGGGGATTGTACCCAGGGCAAGCCTATGTTAGGTGAGCACTCATTCACCAAGTTATATATCATTATATATGATATAATGATATATATCCCCAGTTCAACTTATTTCTTACTTACTCTTTGAATGTTAATGGTATTGCCATCTTTCCTGAATTTTTCTCTTCAATCTGACTCTTCCACTTTTTTTTAGTTACACATGACAGTAGAATGTATATTTTGTTATTTAAAAAAATTTTGTTCTAATTAGTTATACACGACAGTAGATGTATTCCACTTTTATCTATCCTTCTGCTATTGTCATCAAAGCTAACATAATCTCTAACTGGAATTACTGCAATTTTCTTTTCCCTGATGCCTCCTCTACACCCCCCCCCCCCAACACACACACATACCTTTTCCACTTCATTTTACTTTTCTACATAAGTCATCTTTTTGGAATATAATTCTCATCCTGACACACATTTTAAAGCTTTTTAATAGTCTTATTCATGGCTTACAGGGACCTACACAATTCTGTTCTTTTCCATTCTTTCCTACTTCATTTTGTACAGTGTCCTCCTTGCTCACTGTGCTTCAACCACTCCAGCCCATTTATAGTCCCACCAACGTGTCATTACTCTTTTATCTGGAGCAGATTCCAGCTTATCCTTTGCATAGCTGGCTCCTTCTCATTGTGCAGTCCTTCACTGACTGCCCATGGTAGACTTAAGCACCCATCCTCCCTACTTTGTCATTTCAAAGCACTGAATGAAATAAGAAAATGCAAGTGACTGAATTCTGAGCTGAAAATATCCACAGATATAGAGTTTATTTTTATTCCTTCATATTTCTTGTAACTTCTCTTATTATATTCTGAATATAGTTGAACTCACAGTAGTCAATGCTTCATTTTAATACATATTGATTCAGTCAGTGCTAGGGTAGAGATGAATACATTTGCAGTTCAGTGGAGTAGATATTACAATTAAGGTTTCTCAGGCACACCAAATACAATATGGTATTTTTTTAAGGGGTGGCTCTGAAGGGCTATGATTTGGGCTGGGTCTTGAAACATAGCCACCTTCATGAGGCAGTGGTAGAATATTCATATTAAAGTGCAGTGGGAACGAGATGTTAAGATAGGTGAGTATTACAGGTTATTTCACAAGTATATTCCTAAGATAGCCATTTGGTTCCTGAGTTTGAGTAGGCTGTAATAAAGAATAACATGGGAAACACAGGGTGTGAGACTATAGATTTGGCAAAACAGAACCTAAATAGAGAACCCTGCATTATGCTAAGGGTTCCACTTCAAACAGCCACTGGAAGATTTTAAGCAAAGAGCCATGGGATTAGTTTTTCAGAAAAAAAAAATTTATTATGGTGACAAGGTAAAGGAGCCATTTGGGGACTATGAAAATCATGGCAAAGAAGCAAGTTTAGAGGCTTAGTTTCTAGATAAGAAATAATGAGGGAGTGAATAGATAAGTGGAAGAGGGAGGAAAGGGAAATTCAGGAGATTTAAAAACCACAGGCACACACTGGTAGGAACAGGGGAGATGATTTCCAGATTTCTTCTGGTCTGAGGAACCTACGTACACACTGGTAGGAAGAGGGGAGATGATTTCCAGATTTCTTCTGGTCTGAGGAACCTACGTACATGGAAGTGCTGTCCACTAAAGGGAACTGCTGGTGAAGAATACCTTAACAAAAAAGATGGTCCCTTTTGAAATGTTTGAGTTTGAGGGTAATGGTAGGATACATATTCTGATAGGTAGGTATTCATGGTACTTACTAGAGATCTGCATCTATAACTCATGAGTAAGATCTGGGTTAGAAAAATACAACTCAGCCAAAAGCTATTAGTATATTTTGTAGTCAACATACAAGTAGTTAAAACCCCAGAGAGAAGCCACAGAGGGAGAAACACATCCAAGGATTGAACTCTAGGGAAGACACATTTTAAGCAGATGTTAGTGAAAGACAAGGCTTACACAGTTGTAGGAAGATGATAGTGCTGACTTTAAAAAAGGAGAAGATAACCCAGAGGTACCATATACCAGAGATCATCATGTTAATGATGACGAAGTAATGGTCCCTCCTCCATCACAAGCTAACTCGTTCTTGTGATGACAGACTGTACTCCCAGCCCTATCTAATTGTTTTGAAAATATTTGGTCCTGAAGGGAAGGGATGAGTATGTATGACTAAATCAAATTGACTGCTACCTCTGGTAAAATCAATTCAGTATACCAATGTATTGGGAAGGTAGTATATTTTCATGTATACTAATAAACTATATTTCTTTTCTAAATACAATATAGATTTTAAAGCTCTATATTTGGTGAAATTTAATTGCCTATCACTGATAGTTAGCCTACTGATAGTTTACAGTTGTTTTAAAGATAGCCTTTAATGGAATGTCTAGTACAATAGATACTGTAATTAAAGGAAGAGCATTTTTGATACATTTTGGTCCTTAGCTTTGATTAGGCTATGAAGAATGCACTGACGCTAAATTAACTCAGAAGATACTGATTTAAACCAGGTGCAGTAGTGCACACCTGTAATCTCAGTGACTTGGGAGTCTGAGACAGGAGGAATGCAAGTTCAAGGCCAGCCTGGCCAACTTAGTGAGACCCTGTCTCAAAAAGGGTTGGGGATATAGCCCAGTGGTAGAGTATCCCTAGGTTCAATCCTCAGTATGGCACAAAACAAAATTTACATTGTAAAAGTCAAAATGCTGATTTGAAAAAAATTAGTGAAATATATAACTAAACAGACAAGGTATCCCTGCCTATAGAAATGTATTGATTTCTATGAGAAAAAAAAAGGTTGAAATATAAACACAATGTTGTTTGGTGACTAATCTTACATCAGTGGTGGTGAGAAAAAACTTTTTTGCTTTTTTATCTTCAGGGTCTTAGTCTGGGTGCTATAAGTAAAATTTAGCTATCAGTGAGGGTCTGTGACATAGGGACCAGAGACAAGTATGTATAACTGCAATAAGGACCTAACCATGTAGCTGAGGACAGTGACAAAGACTTGACAACATTATTTTTTCCTCTGAGGTAATTGGTATGAGGGATTATATGATTCATGAAAATGGAGTTTGAAATGTACAGGAAGGCTATAATATTTTTTATTTAAACCTGCAGGTTCTCCTGAAAAGAAAGGTGAATATCCATCCATGAATCAAGAAAATAGCACCAGAAACCCTATCAAGAATGGAAAAGCAAGTCCAGTATCTAAAGATCAGCGGGTTGGAAAGAAAACCTCAGAGAATTTATCAGTACGGGGTCATGTACAAAAGGGGAATGATGACTCTGAAAGTGATTTTGAGTCAGATCCCCCTTCTCCTAAGAGCAGTGAAGAGGAAGAGCAAGACGATGAAGAAGTTCCTGGAGAACAAGGAGATTTTAATGATGATGATACTGAACCAGAAAATCTGGGTCATAGGCCTCTCCTCATGGACTCTGAAGATGAGGAAGAAGAAGAGAAACACAGCTCTGATTCTGAGTATGAGCAGGCCAAAGCAAAGTACAGCAGCGTGAGCCCTGTCTACAGAGACAAATCTGGCAGTGGAACAACCCAAGATCCTAATTTAGCACTCCTTGCCCTAACACATGTATCCTCTGATGTTGGGAGGGAGACTCCCAAACAGGAATTTGACGTATTTGGTGCTGTTCCCTTCTCAGTGCGTGCTCAACAGCCCCAGCAAGGAGAGAATGAAAAGAACCTTTCTCGACAGATGTTTCCTACTGTAGGACTAGAGCAAGAGGAATTTGATGTCTTCACTAAAGCACCCTTCAGCAAGAAGGTGAATGTCCAGGACTGCCCTGTAGTGGGGTCTGAGGCACATGCTCTTCCTGGTTGTCCCAAAAGTGTAGATATATTTGGCTCCACTCCTTTTCAGCCTTTTCCCACATCAACAAGTAAAAGCGAAAGTAAGGAGGACCTTTTTGGGCTTGTGCCCTTTGAGGAGATAACCGGAAGTCAGCAGCAAAAAGTCAAACAGCGCAGCTTACAGAAACTGTCCTCTCGCCAGAGGCGCACAAAGCAGGATATGTCCAAAAGTAACGGGAAACGGCATCACGGCACACCAACTAGCGTGAAGAAGACATTGAAGCCTACCTACCGCACTCCAGAGAGGGCTCGCAGGCACAAGAAAGTGGGCCGCAGAGACTCTCAAAGCAGCAATGAATTTTTAACCATCTCAGACTCCAAGGAGAACATCAGTGTTGCACTGACTGATGGGAAAGACAGAGGGAGTGTCCTACAACCAGAGGAGAGTCTGTTGGATCCCTTTGGTGCCAAGCCCTTCCATCCTCCAGACCTATCATGGCACCAGCCACATCAGGGCCTGAGTGACATCCGTGCTGATCACAATACTGTCCTGCCTGGGCGGCCAAGACAGAATTCACTACATGGGTCATTCCATAGTGCAGATGCGTTGAAAATGGATGACTTTGGTGCAGTGCCCTTTACAGAACTTGTGGTGCAAAGCATCCCGCCACATCAGTCCCAACAGTCCCAACCAGTTGAATTAGACCCATTTGGTGCTGCTCCATTTCCTTCTAAACAGTAGATACTTCTGATGGATTCTTGGCATTTATTCCTGTTTCAAAAAAGTATGAATAGTTTTATGAATTTGAAGAAAATTTATTTGTATAGCTCTTTATATCATTCATTCTTACAGGTCAGTGAGGATAGGTGATTTTTAAATAAACCAAATAGAAAAAGGAAGTATCTCTACAGGGTAGTAACTTGATGCCTCTTCAAAGCAGAAAAGGGAGCTAAATTGAAAGCTGCACCCAAGCATTTCTGCTACTGACATCACAGTATGGAAATGCAAAGTGTGGTACTTCCAATGAAAGCACATGGCACCTTTCCATTCCAGGTGTGTAGACACTGAGAAGGGACAGTAAAGCTGTATCATTATTTTTGACATCACAGTGTCACTTATGTGCATATCCCAGGCTCATTCCAGATCCAGCATTTAAAACTAGGCTCCTTTGTACATACATTGATTGTGTTTATGAATTTTATGGTCTTTCTAATTTTCACACAGAAAATAAACAAGCAATCTAGCTCTCCTTAAGAATTAGGAGGATCTTATCTGGAGAGTGTAGAGACTTTAGTTCATACACGCTTCTCTACAAAGCAGAGCCAGAAGAAACTGACTATTGTGCCTAAAACTGTTTATTTTAAAAAATAAGTGCCATTAATATGGGATATCTTATGATAATTATGTGAAATAATGTATGTTAATTAGTTCAATTTAGCTCTTCTACAATGTATACAAATTTTGAAACATGTACATGATAAATATATATAATTTTTATTTGTCAATTAAGAAATTTTAGAAATATGGAGTATCTAATTGAAACCTAGAGCAAAACTGTAAAGAGACATATCTGGCATTTGAAAAATGTAGAAGACATGAATGTTATGTAAGAACAAAAAAACATTGAATACTTTAGAAACACTATTGTTTTCAAATGGCTTCTTGCCAAAAGTTTTATCATGTCCTTCAGGAAGCAGATAATTGAAAAACAAACAAACAAAAATATAAAAAAACTGGGAGTGAGGACAAGGGTTATATAGAAATTTTATTTCAGGAAAAACAAATGTGGCTGAACCCCTGAATTTTTAAGATGTTTACAATGTAAAATCATGTTGTATTTCATAATGTACTTCGTTAAATTACCACCTTCATCAATATTCCCCAAGTCATGAGCAACAGTTATTTTACTTAGGTTAAGACAGTGGAGTAATTTTAATAAAGTGCACAGAACAATGACACCTTCAAAGCCTTATAGGCAGGACTTGTGCATCCTGCTACAAGTACCTCTGCACTAACACACCAGATCTTAATATGGATATAAGGTATTAGATGATGAGGGACTAGCATCTTAATTCTGCTAGCTGATTGTGTCTCTCGTGAAAAGAGCCCAGCTACCAAATTGCCTTTTTTCTACACCATAAATCCTAATTAGAAACTTGAGATTTTGTAGAAATCATGTTTAATGATAATAATGACATATGAATTAATGTGAATATCTAAGCTTTAAGTTATAATTAACTCTTCCCTCTCAGATTAACATTTGTAAGTTTCTAGAACAATTATGAAAAGGAATGGAAATTCATCAGCTAGCACTTTCTTTGGTTGCTCTTTGCATCCAATTAAAGTGTATTTTATGAGTAATTTTATGAGTAATCTTAAAAGACTATCTTAATTATAGTGCCCCACTAGGGTAAATTATTTGCCTGTTTTCACAGTTCTGAACTTGGAATGAAGCAAAGCATATGTAACTAATCCACATTTTTTATTGCTTTCTACATGCTAAATTGGATAGAAATTGATGAATGTGGAAGCAATATGTGAATCACAATGTAGCAGAGGCAGACCAGGCATTACATTACTATTTACAGTTGTGCTTCTAGAGCTGGACTGCACCAATTACTTATCCTTGTGCCAAAGGCAAATATTATGTTTGCACCTTTTTTCTGATTCTCAGGTTGATTAATACTGCTAATGCATATGTGAAAGTAGATGTTCTTTTAAACTACAAAATAGATTCAAGTGATACTTTCTTTTAAAAGTGAAGAGTAAATTCATGAGCTACAGTAGGTTTGTATCAAGATTTTTTTTTAAAAAAGGAAATCTGTTGGATAATGTGTTCACAATATGTTCTTTGACTATTTAGTCTTCCATCTCTTGATCCTCATTAGCTCATCTTTTAGAAGGGTAGTAAACTAATATGGTCTCCTTCAGATGTAAACATAAAATACGTAGTTTTATTTTGCTCTTCAGTACACTGAATAATGTAAATGATTCAGACAGTGATGAGACCCTTTGGCTTATAATGTTGGACAGATTTCCAAGGAAACAATTCTGCCCTGGCTTAAAATATTTACATTCTTGTTTATTATAGCATAGTTTGGTGACTTTCCTCTTTTGAGATGGTAGGTAGGAGGAAAAAATTAAGATTCGATTGGGGAATCCAATGGAATAAAAATGGGAAAATTCCTTTGTGTTGAAGTAAGAGGCATTTTTCCAAGGAGCAGAAATTCATACTTTTCCATTTTCATTGATCATCTTCCCCACCATAATCAACTGATGCCCAGGTTAATTCCCTGATAAGAATTAAATTCCCAAGACACATGGTAGCATTTAACATAGTACCTGGCACACAGCACTCAGTAAAAGTTTGGTTCTATTATGGGGTGGTCAAGTTCTGATTTAAGGAAGTTAAAAGAAAAGTATAATCCTATTACTATTTGGCTGTGCCTTGTGCTTCTAAGGATGCAAAGTAGTTATAACTCTAAACCTGCTATACTTGAACATCACACTAAGGGAAGTAACACAAGAAGCTAGCAAAATTCTGAGGCCAAAGTTGTTTCCTAACAGCTTTAACAGTGCTTGTTGATTCTGAATCATCTTTTTAAAAGTGGACCATTTGCCTATTTTAATATCACTTCAATAAAATGTTAGTATTAAAAAGATCAGTTTTTATGACATTGAAGAATGTATCTGCTAAAACAGAAAAACTGGTATATATATATATATAAATATATATATATATTTATACATAAATATACATATATATTTATATATATAAAATAGGTGGAGGAAGGGAAGTTGCAGGCTAAATGAAATGTAACTGATTAGAATATTTATTCAGAAGTGGTAACACTCATTTGCCATCCTTGGGTATGTGTATTTGGGCATAGTTATAACATTATCTAGATTTGCTGATACATGCACCTTTCAGTCCTACCCTGTTTACTGTGTAACAATGATAGACTATTTTCTTTTTGCTGGTGGAACATACTAAGTTGGAATCCACTGTTCTTTGTTGGTGTTCATCAGAACAGTTTCTTACTACTCAGCTCTTCTGCTAAGTTTAAGTTCTGGTACTTCACATAAGCACTGTCAGAAGGTACAAGTGTATTTAATCACTAGTTCTGAGGAGTTTGGGTACATTTGTTTATATATAGAATGTGCAGTGAATTTTTTTCATTTTTTTCTTTTTAGCAAAACTACTCTTACCATTTTAGGTCCAATTACTGAATAGACAGTCTACTGTGAGGATGAGATGACATCTACTGTGAGAATAACAATAATTATTTGAGAACTTTTATACTCAGTGGTGTTTTATATATTAAGATATAATTATATACACATGCATGAACATCACATCTCTCTACTGTGGAGTTAATGTGAATTTTTAAAAAATGGAATTGCAACCACAATCATAGCTAAAAACATTCACTCCTAGTGAAGGTTTACAAAAGCCACTAAAAGAATAAAGTAAGTGAAAATGCAAAGGGTCACTTGGGGTTTTGTTTTATTTTAAAATTTATAGTGCTACTTTTGAAAGAGAATTGTTTTTATTACTATGCTCTTTTGTGATCAAGAAGTCATCTAATAGCAGTATAGAAGCTACTTTTTTTAATTGCTGGCAAACAGCTTTAAGTGCACTTTCTTTGATTACACTTCCATTTTTTGTTAAACTTGAATTTTCTGAAGCCTTTTATGTACCACTAAGCAAATAACTTTAACCTTTAAAAAAAACGGATTACATCATTATTGTATTTCTAGTAATTGTAAAACATACTTGCTAAAATAACTTCAGTCCTCAAATGTAGCTAAGAAACTTGTGAGACAGGATTGGTTATCCCCCCTCCCATATCTAATTAAGCACTAACTAACTTTATGACTTTATTGCCTTTATATTGCTTATTCTTGTATTCTGTCCCTGATACACTTTGTTTTGTTTGAAATTTGAAGTTATTTTCTTACTGTATTTATCATACCTCTTTTAATAATCTGCTTTCTTTAAATGCAATAAATTAAAAATGGATTACCTATTCTTTATAATCAGTGACTTTGGAGTTTTTCATTATTGTCTTATTAAAATATTGGATATAAACTTCTATTGAGTTCTTTCATTTATACCATGGATCTTTAAACATCTATTGTGTACCAGCAAAATAATATAAAAATAAGACTGTTCTTAAGGAGCCTTTATGATTTAAGTAAGAAAATACATTTGACCTAAATTTTTTACAATAAAAAGAATATAGCACCATTATTTTAATCACTTACTGACACTTATACTGATGATGGTAAGGCAGAAACATGAGACCTTGAAAATACCTTTAGGATAACTTGTTTGGCATAGTTTTTACATTATTTCTACTTTTTAAAAAAACTATTAAAAGCCTGCTAACATATATAATTGTTAAAAATCTTTTGAATATTTTGGTCTTTGACTATGTCAGAAAAGCAGTTTTGGAACATTAATGAGGAAAACATGGGGTTGATGAGGAAAACAAAGGCTTGGTGTCAAGGTTGTGGTATTATAATGTAATATCCCCCAAACTGGAGTCTAGATTGGTGGCTTATGACAAGTTTCTCAACCAAAAACAAGATTCATCTTACTTTGTACTTTTTTTTTTTTTTTGAAGTAGTAACATTCATTTCAAGTTATGTGGAAAAATAAGGGCTTTTGTATCTTCTTAATGAATAATGCAAAACACCATAGTATCACAAATGGAGAGAAAGTTATATTAAAAAGTTTGTATCACTGTTCAAATTGTTATAGTTAACCCCTTATGGTGCAACTTGAACTGTTTGGTTTGAATAGTTCCTTTTTCAGGAAGCCGAGCTTAAGCTTCATATGTAGTTAATATTCTCATATTAAAAGTTTGAACTCTAGCACATGCATGCTAGGTAGTGTTTAATCCTACATTTGTAGAGCAAGATGAAGGCTTTTGTGGCTGTTCGTTTCAGGCATGAGTATACAGAGGTTCACTTTTCATAAGTGGGCCATACTATTTCTATCTCCCTTCAAAAAGTGTTCTTTTAAGGTAGTTTCAATTCTTGATCATTACCTTACTACTGTACAGAAGTATGGTATCAAATTTCAGGGGAGCTCAGTACTCAAGAACATCTATACCTCTCTTCAGTATAAACATGATTATTGTGATAATGCAGATAAAATATACTTCTGCCTCTCTTCTAATAGCTGAGCTGATTCTTTACACACTTCTTTGGCAGGAATGGAATTACTAAGAATGATGATTTGGTGTGGATATGGACCCATTCAGCAACTGGCAGGAATGTAGAAATGCAAGCTTTGCCCCTTGATGGTTAGTACAGGGCAAAGTATATCTCTAGTAGGTACCTGCCACATGGAGAGCTGTACAGCTTTATGCCAGTCAATCACAATCTTCAAATCGTACACTCTGTCCAGGTGGGATGCCATGTGATGTGACAAGATATTCCCTGATTCTTCATTCCTGATTCTAAAATATGATTTTTAAAGCTGTTATGTATTAAAAAAGAATGACAAGCAGCACTTAATATATTTAGTAAACCCAGTTTATTTACATAATACATATTTTACCATGCAGCTTACGGAATTGCACTCAAAATAATAAACAAAAATAAACTGGCACTATCTTGCTATTTGAAAATGGCTTTATAGAGAAAGATAACTTTCTTAAATGAGTTAACTAAACTATAAAAAATTGCTATGGTAACTTAAAAAAAAAGCTAAAAATAATTTTAAAATATACTTGTAAAGTCTGTAGATAAAGAGCTTTTATAATTTACACATTGGTAAAAATTAAAAGTAGTCTTTTTTAGTATTGTAGCTGGAAATTATACTTTTAATTAACTAATAACAAAAAATAACTTACATATACATTATTACAAGGCTCAGATTTCTAGGCAACTTTTAAATATTCTTTAATGTTAACAGTGTCTTAAAACATTTTACCAGTAGTACTGTGCACATAGCAGGTGGTCAGTAAATGCTGACATACATAAGTATTTATAGTTGACAGCAACCCACATTCATGTGAATATTCCTTTACAATAAATACATCATAGTAAAGATAAAAATCAGAGGATAGCTTTCTTACAATATTTAACATTTTCAGAAAACACTTAAGTATTAATAAGGAATAATTCTTCCTATAGACCTGTATGCCCTTTAAATTCAAAAAAATAATCATTTAAAAACAAATATGCTCTTTTTTAATGTATTAATTTGGGTGGCAAGTATTACATAATTCATACACTATGTAAGATGGGAATTTTTTTAAAAAATTAAACTTAAAAGGTTATTTTTTAGAATATTTTATTGGAAAAAAATGATTCCACACCTAAAATAACTGGACTTTCCCCTCATTTTTAACTTGATGATAACTACTTAGTGTATTTCATTTGGATGAAATGTCAATTTAGAAGCAGTAGTATTATGTAAGCCAATAAAGGATGTTTTAGGGGAAATATGTCCTATTTACACCAAAATCTCCTATTACTTAGTATATAAATCACACTGTGGTCTTTGAGATACTATAGCCATTTTCAAAATAGCATTCCACTATAATAATGAGTATGATATAGCATGCCCTTACTGGGCCCACTAGAAGAAAATTCTCCTTGCTGAGATACCAACATGGAAAATGTATATTCCAAAATCACTACACTGGAAAGGAACAACATTTTACAGATGGATAAACTGAGGCACATTAAAGTAACTTTTCTAATACTAAACGTAAAAAAGGCATATTGGGAATAAAATTCAACATCAATGAACATTTTTCTAGATATCCAGTTCTATCTTGAAAACATACCAATATTTAAAACAGTTTGTCAACTCATTAAGAAATGTTGGTAATAATTTATAGTCTAACAACAAGTTTTTACGTATGTCTGCTTTAAGAGATTTAATTTATGCATATGAAATGATCAATGAACGAACGGCAACAACTGTATTAGTAAAACTATTTTTTTAAGTATAAACAATGACAAATTTAATGCTTCATGTCCAAATTGTATTCATTTTTAATTTTTTTGGTATTGGGGATTGAACCCAGAGGCACTCTACCAGTGAGCTATATCTAGATCCCCTGTTCTTTTTATTTTTTATTTTGATACAGGGTCTCACTAAGTTGCTTAGGACCTTGCTAAATTGCTTAGGTTGGTCTCAAACTTGTGATCCACCTGCGTCAGCCTCTCTCGAGTTGTTGGGATTACAGACATGCACTGCTGCATCCAGCTTCAAGTCCAAATTTTAGATGGTGAATATAAACATTTTATCAATGCAATGTTAACTTACGCATAAGCTGAAGACTAAAGCACAATCCTCATCAAGTGGGGCATCAGCATGACTTTATTCTAAGGCTTAAGGTTCAGTTCAGGGTCAAATCAGGGCCATGTAAATCTTATGGCCTTGAAAGTAGCACCCATATAGCTGGGAGTCCTCATCATCAAATTTCTTTTAGAATTTTGGGATCAAAATCTTCTATAATCCACTTGCAAGAATTCAATTATGATATGGAATTAAATAAACTCTGGAATTAAAAGGCTTGAGTAATGATTTGATTATTAGATCATGGAATTTGTTGCTTAATCATGTCCTTAGTTTCTAATGTGATTCTTCGCTGATAAAAAGTAACATTGCATGTTCATTTCCTCTTCTTAATACCTCCCTTAAAGAAGAACTCTTGTTCTGACGAACTGAAAATTTCTAATGTTTCTAAGGAGAGAACCTGCGGCTAAAGGAAATAATATTTTAAGTGCCAGATTTTCACAAACCATGTATTTAAAGGCTATGATTACTCCAAATCACTATCTTAGCTTGTATTAAACATAGGCTGTAACAAACGTCACCTTGATTAGGCACTTAAATTTGATGATTTAACGAAAATATCTTCTATTAAAGCCATCACACAGGATGACTCCATTTCAAATGGAGATGAGCCCTTCCTAAGGAAATTAAGCTGGTGTCAAGTAAACTGAATCCTATTTCTACAATAGTTTCACATTCATTGTTACCATTCAGATTATTTGTTATGATCGCCAACTAATTCTCATTTTCTATATAAGCAGCAAATTAGTAGTTTTAAGGGTCTACAAAGCAGTTATTACTACAGATCCCTAGGTATATTTTTCCATTTTTATAAAGCATTACCCATGATACAAGAAGAAAAAGAAAAAGATGAATGGGAACCTTAGAAATAGTGGGGTATACAAGTCCCCATTTTATATTGCTTAACAACTGAATTCACCAGGTGGCCATACCTGAATTCTTCACAAATGTGAAACATAGTCAGGACAAGGCTTGCTATGTCTGTACTGCATGACATAGACTGTTGACTGATGCCACCAATATAACATCACTACTGCAAGGATATGCCATATTTGGTGGCTAGATCCGAGGTAGTTTAGTTGTCCTAGAAGGAAGGTAGAAAGAAATTAATACTGATTGTACTATTTTGATATTAAAAGAAAATAAGTTTCTGGGGCTGGGTTGTGGCTCAGTGGTAGAGTGCTTGCCTAGCATGTGTGAGGCACTGGGTTTGATTCTCAGTACCACATAAAAATAAATAACTGACAACTAAAAAAATATTTAAAAAAAAAATAATTTTCTAATCTTCAGGCTTGGAAATATGGCTTAGCAGCAGAACATTTTTGTTAGTCTCAGTGCCTGGAGATCCAAGTTTTGTTTTTGTTTTTTTTAAGGATGAACACACATTTGGGTTTCTAATTTTAAGGTTTTATCAAGAACACAAGTAATTTTTAGAAATGATATTCACAATGTATTTTTAAAAATCTAACTTGTAATTTTCAGGAATTTGACCTTTTGCCTCCCATGTCTCAATTCCTATCTGGTGTAATGGGAAAAAAAAAAAAAAAAAAACTGAAGAAATGAGGGTTACAAATCAGCGAGTAATTTAGGTATGAATCTGTGAGTAGGAAATGCACTGTTGTGTTTAGATATGAACCTGCTAGCAAATGCACTGTTGTGTTTAGATATGAACCTGCTAGAAGCACTTCTTTATTTTATGCATGTATGCAAGGAGAAACCTCAGTCCCGAATCTTAATACTCTAATGGAATAATGTGCAAAATTCTGTGGTAGTAATGGGTTAATTAACTAAGGTTGATTAGTTCACATACAATTTCAGAAAACAATTTAATTTCTCTTTATGGCTAAACATTAAATTCCATGGAGATTAATAATTAAAATGTGGAAAGCTTCTTGATCTTTCCTGGTGTAAAACAGAAGAACAGCTATAAAAACAAGTGTAAACTTTCTCTTAGTGAGTCTATGGTCCTGTAATGTAACTATTCTCCAACCTCTTCTTATTTTTGTCTTACCAAGAATAATAATTAGTGCAGAACATTAATATTAAAGTGTAAGTCAACAGGATTCTTTCTATATAGGTTCTTGGCTTTTTTTTCTTTTTTTTTGGGGGGGGGGTGGGGTAGGGCACTAGGGGTAGGGTAGGGTAGACTTCTTGACTCCTAAAGAAGCTTACAGATTCAGTTTTAAAAACCAAATTCAGCCCAAGCAACTTAGTGAGAACCTGACTCAAAATAAAAAATAAAAATGGCTGGGGATGTGACTCAGTGGTAAAGTACCCCTGGGTTCAATCCCCAGTACCAAAGAAACAAACAAACAAAAAAAGCAAATACAGGGAATTTGAAAAGAAACTGGTTATCTTGTAATAGTAAACAGTAGTACAAGGGATCTATTCAATTCCATTCATGATACCTTGGACATCCTTGGGTCCATCAAATACCACTGTGGTGTTTATGTATTTAAAAAATTTAATGTGAGCTGAATTTAAATTTTTAGGCTTAATTTTTTTTTAATATCCCATTATTCACCACCTACACTTCCCCACAGTTCTCTCATACATGAAAGAAGGTACTTATCCCTGAGACTATCACTTTCACCTGTAAAGCCTATAGTGTTTATGGTCTCCATATCTCTACTACTTTCACGTACCTTCACTAAACCACACATTCAACTTCAAGGGGCACATTTTATATCAAGCTCATCTTGGATAAAAGTTAAGTTACAGAACATTTGATCTTTTGTAGGTTTTCTATATTAGACAATTCTAAAACCTGGACATTGATATTTTAAGGTCTAAAAACACTATAGCCACAATCACATACTGTAAAAAGAATTTATGGCTTGATCTTCTACTTGTCTGTGATCAGGAACAGAATTTTTAAAAGAATCATTAACAAAGTTATAAAAAAATATATTTTACCAGAATCTGTTTTCTGAGGAAAATTCTGGCCCTGCCTGGAAGATAGTTGATCTTCAATTCAGGAGCATATCTTAGTAATGTTCCCACAGCCTGATGTGTACACACTCAGGCTCTTAGTATTCCCATTCCTATTCAAACCTCAGGGTGAAAAATCAAGTACAGAGGAATGCCTGAGAATCTGTGGTGGATTCATTCTCTATTCCAGGGTTTTTCATATTTTCTCCTTCCCGTCTTTAATTCACTGTGGAAGAGATTCCTAACCTAGGAAGAAGGAGCATTGAGTTTGCAGTTTGGATTTAAACAAATCCTTGTTTTCTGTCTTCCAAATTTAAAAAGAAAAATAAAACACTGTTTTATGTACTACATAAAAGTTGTTCTTGAGTCAAGTTAAGGCTTACCTGGATTTGCATCATTTTGCCTTTCATTAAACTACATATCTCACTTTGAAGACCAAGTTGAGTGATATCATTATACTAATTGCTAGCATTTATTGAGGGCTTACGACATGTTAGGAACTGTGCTGTTTTATGTTCATTTTCTCATCTAATCCTGACAAGAACCCCAAATAAGTATTATCCCTGTGTTTCATATAAGGAAACTAGAACTGCAAAAGTTTAAGTTATTTTGCTCATGCAGCTGATATAGTATTTTCCAGGCAATCTGACTTCAGAGAGAGAGTGTCAAAACAAATACATATTTTGGAGAATAATCACTCCACCCAGTGTCCTCTCTGTTATTTTCCATCAGAAATACTTTTCTTTGGACTGAAGAATGTAGAAAACTATCCTTTTCTTAAGTGACTGGCTTATAACTATCTTGGGGACAAACAGACTCATCAATTTTATTATTTTTCTTAGCTCTGGGTAACAGGAAGCAGAAAGTAAAATCACAGATAAGGGGGGACTATTGTTTTATGACCCTCACCACTTATTGGATTCAACTCATACTCTGAGAAAGAGCTTGTGAAAGCCCTTTGAAAGGTAGGGCTTTATATAACATTAAGAAATAGAAGAATTACTCTATAATCAAAAATGCTGAAAAATAAATCTAAGTTTTGATTCTGTGAAGCATTTACTTAAAGCTTATACTTAAGAATAAAGCTGCAAAACCTCTGTGAAAGAACACCCACCTGGAAAGTACCGCTCTGGAACTTTGGAGATGTAGAATAGGAAAGCAAGAAGAGCAATCACATACATCACAATTACACGAGGTGCAAAATCCTGAAAAGTAAAACATGTTTTGTTTTTTTTTTTTTCCCACAGATCTTTCTACTTTACTGAAGTCTAAATTTATTATGAATATGATGGTAGAATTTAAGACTGTTAAATCTGAATGGTTCTATAGATAAATCTCCAGTAATAAGCCTGATTTTCATTCTTCAGGAAGAAGTCCACAGAAATGGAGCACAGTGATGCCCTAAAGGTTAGGCTACTAAAAGAGTGAGGGCTTTATGCTGCTGAAGGTCCTAGTGTGTCTGAATCCTCTACAATGTATGCATCTGGGTTGGATACATATGGGAATGGAGTAGTCTCTTGGCTTACTCATTATCAAATGAGTAAGCCAAGAGACTACTGACTAGTGACTTATAATCAGAAATGATCTACACAGCTTGGTCTAAGACAAAAATCTTCCAATATCACAGAAAAAAATGGTTCTCTTGGATATCAAGCACTCTATCTTACTGCTAATGCTCTATTAGAAAAGTTTTCCTGGAGAAAAATTGAAAGCATTCCTCCAAGAACTGGAACAAGACAGACTGGCCTCTTTCACCACTTCTATTCAGCACAGTTCTTGAAACTCTAGCCAGAGCAATTAGGCAAAAGGAAGAAATTAAAGGGATACAAATAGGGAAAGAAGAGTTCAAACGATCCCTATCTGCTGATGACATGATTCTGTATTTAAAAGACCCCCCACCCCAAAATAAAAACTCCACCAGAAAATTTCCAGAACTCATAAATGAATTTGGCAAAGAAGCAGGATATATAATTAACACTGATAAATCAATTGCCTTACTAATCACCAATGATGAATTAGCTGAAAGAGAAATAAGGAAAACCATCCCATTCACAACAGCTCAAAAAAAAAAAAAATACTTGGAACTCAATCTAACAAAAGAAATGAAAGACCTCTACAATGAAAAGTATAGAACATTAAAGAAAGAAATTGAAGAAGACCTTAGAAGATGAACAGCTCTCCCATGTTCTTTGATAAGCAGAATTAATATTGTCAAAATGGCCATATCAAAAGTGCTATACTGATGTAATGCAATCCCTATTAAAATTCCAATAATGTTCTTCATAGAAATAGAAAGAGCAGTCACAATATTCATTTGGAAAAACTAGAGGCCCAGAATAGCCAAAGCAATCCTTACTGAGAAAATGAAGCAGGATGTACCATAATACCAGATCTTAAATTATACTATAGAGCTATAGTAACAAAAACAGCATAGTATTGCCAAAACAGACATGAAGCCCAATGGAACAGAATAGAAGACACAGAGATAAACCCACAAAAATATTATCTCATGCTAGACAAAGGCACATAAACACACATTAGAGAAAAAAAGAGCCTCTTCAACAGATAGTGCTGGGAAAACTGGAAATCCATATGTAGCAAAATGAAACTGAACCCCTAGCTCACCCTGCACAAAACTCAACTCAATATGGATCAAGGATCTAGGCATTAGACCAGAGACCCTGTACCTACGAGAAGAAAATGTAGGCCCAACTCTCCATCATTTTGGCTTAGGAACTGAATTCTTCAACAAGACTCCTAAAGTGCAAGAAGTAAAACCAAGAATCAATAAATGGAATTGTATCAAACTAAAAAGTTTCTTCACGCAAAGAAAACAATCAAGACCATGAAGACAGAGCCTACAGAATGGGAGAGAAGCTTTGCTACCTGCCCCTCAAATAGAGCATTAATCTCAAAGATATATAAAGAACTCAAAAAACTTAACACCAAAACAAACAACAACAAAAAAACCAAAACAAAAAAACAAATGATCCAATCAATAAATGGGCAAAGAAATTAAGCAGGCACTTCACAGAAAAATAAATACGAATGATCAAAAAAAAAAAAAAAAAAGAAGGAGAAGGAATGTTCAACATTCTTCTCTAGCAATTAGAGAAATGCAAATTAAAACTAAACTGAGATTTCATCTCACTCCAGGCACAATGGCAATTTTCAAGAAAACAAGTAACAATAAATGTAGGTGAGGATGTGGAAGGAAAGGTTCACTCATACATTGCTGGTGGGATTGCAAATTGGTGCAACCACTCTGGAAAGCAGTATGGAGATTCCTCAGAAAACTTGGAATGGAACCACCATTTGACCCAGTTATCCCACTCTTTGGCATATACCCCAAAGGACTTAAAATCAGCACACTACAGTGATGCAGCAACATCAATGTTTATGGCAGCTCAATTCACAATAGCTAAGCTATGAAACCAACCTAGGTGCCCTTCAGCAGATGAATAGATAAAGAAAATGTGGTATATATACCCAAGGGAATTTTACTCAGCCATAAAGAAGAATGAAATTATGGCATTTGCTAGTGAATGGATGGAAATGGAGACTATTACACTAAGTGAAATAAGCCAATCCCCCAAAGCCAAAGGCCCATTGTTCTCTCTGATATGCAGAAGGTTAACACACAATAATGTGGGGGGAGAATAGAAGTCATTGAATTAGGGAAATTAAGGGCAGGAGAGAGTATGGGAATAGGATTGACAGTAGAATGAATCCAACATAACTTTGCTATGTTCATATGTGAATACAAGACCACTGTAACTCCACATCATGTATAACCACAATAATGGGATCCTAATTAGAATAAGTTATACTCCATACATGCATAATATATCAAAATACACTCTACTGTCATATATTGCTAAAAAGAACAAATATAAAAATAAGTTTTCCTGGCCTTGAGAAAATAGCCAGCTACAACTTATACATATTGTTCTTAATTCTGATTATAAAACAAACTTACCAAAAATCCATTTGAGAAATAAAAATAAGTTATCTCTCTTCCTAATTCAAATACATACATGAGAATTACCAGATTCCTCAGATTAATTAACCTCAGATTTCTCAAGACTTTCTAGAAAATACAACTTCACCCCACCTCTTAGGATTGTCCCTTCTGGAACTTTTCACCTTTTGTAACAGCCTCTACAGCTTTTAAATATTAAAGCTTATTAGAGAATTTTCTGAAAGTTTCCCTTTGTTTTCTCACTGGAATGATCCATGATCATATTAGAATTCATCTTTAATAACCATTGTCTTCCTATTTCATATTTCAATTTTAAACTTTTAAACATGAAAAAATTTCTCATTTTTTCCTACATTTCTTTAATATCCATTGAATTAATGGGTCTTGTTTTTTTATTATTATTATAAGCTTAAAAGGATGTGTTCACCACATCCAAATTTTAATTACTTCTATATTAACAAAAGTTATCCATTTGTTGGAACTAAATTTACAGTGGCAGCTTCCTATTCTATTTTCTTATTTTTAGGGTATCAAAACTCTCAGAAAATGTTTTCCCACAGAGAGGATCATTTACATCCCTCATCATTACTATCTCACTGTTCTTACAGTTTCCTAATCTTATGAAGAAAGCATCACCCTTGTCCTCAAATGAACCAGATTAAATCACTGATTCACTGTCATAGAATATTCTTTGTTTTCAGTGTATATCCAAGTGCTTCCCACCATACTGTTGCCAACTTCATGTAAGTGAATGTAAGCCTACTACTAATAGTTTTTCCTCTTCTATTAATGCATGATCCTTACTAATAATGGATTCTTTTGAAAAAAGCCTGCTTTTAAAATCCCACATTCCAGACTAAAGGCCTCAATGCAAAAAATATACATGATTTCTGCCAGCTTCATTTTCTTTTCTTTTTTTTTTCCTTTTGGTACTGGGGATTGAATCCAGCAGTACTTTAACACTGAGTTATATCCTTTTTATTTTTTTTATTTTGAGACAGGGTCTTGTTACATTGCTGAGGATTTCACTAAGTTGTGAGGTTGGCCTTTAACTTGTGATCCTCCTGCCTCATCCCCACCTCCAGCTGGCTGGGATTGTAGGTGTCCACTACTGTTCCCAGCATTCTGCCAGCTTTCTTGGTATATGTGCTCATGTAAGAAAATTTCGGTTTTATTCTGTAGCACATACTTGGCATTTTTATATGTATCTCTAAGAATGTAAGTCTTATTTCTAATCATAATCTCAAGAATGTTGAGTTTTCACTGAGGTTCTTTCTAATGCATATTAACTATATTCTATAATACCTGATATCAATAGCTCTTCTTTTATTTTGCAAAATATTGCCCTTGGTGAGTTGAATATGCTTCTTTGACTCCAGCAACCAATACGATGATAATTTCCAAATCTTTATCCCTAGTCTCAAACTTGGCCTAAATTCCAGACCCTGTGTCTACCTTCACATCCTATAGATACCTCAAATTCAACAGGTTCAACAAAAAAAATCCTTTCTAACTCCTCTTTCCCCCACCAAAAATATCAAGTGTTCCTGCTTCTATACTTTGGTTATCACTGGCATTATCACTGATCCAGCAGACAAAGCTAGAAACTTTGAAGTCCTCCACAGATAAGGACTTGGATATTTTACACACTAAAGGTAAGAGAAAGAGAAATAAGAATGTGTTACTTCATAGACATTCAGGAAAAAAAATACTAATCAGACTTTATATATGCTTTTGAATGGTATGCTTATTTATATAGCAGTGAAAATTATGGTGTCAGCATATAATTAAAAATATGCTCTCAAATGACACAAACTCACCCACTACTGATTATATTACTTTACCCAAAATAAAATTGAAAATTAAAAAAATGAGGACAAATACTGATGACACTTAACGTACCTGTACAATAGGAGCTCCAATTCCTCCATTGAGCCAAACCCAGTGAAGAGTAGGTATTACTCCATATCCCGAAACAGAACAAAAGATGACAGAACGGAGCCTCTGCCATTGCTGTGTGAGGTAATTGGGATGAATCTGAGCAAAGAACACTGCCAGGATCATGGCAAGCACTGTGATCAAGTATACTTGACGCCAGTACTGAAATGAAACAAAATCAAATTTTAATTCTGCTATTAACAATAGTGAAGGCAAAGAGTAATTTTGGCTTATATTTAACACATTCCAAACTACTTGGTACTTTCAATTCCAAACAGGATTATTTATCTTTCTTAAAAAAAAATGCATATACCAAACAACTATTAAGTTTCGTAGGATGACAAATCAAATTCTCAAGTGAGCTACTGAGACTGCATTTATTCCTACAAAAGCATTTCCTGAGTACCTATTACCATGCTAGGCATGGTTAGAAGTCCTATAGAAACGTAGCAGACTATGACACAGACTCTCCCAGTGGATGAGCACATAGACTCTGGGAGGGGCAAATGTAAACAAATGATAATAATTCAATGATAAATATTATAACTGAGTTTCAAACAAAGTTGTAGAACCACTGAAGAGAGAGCAATGTTACCTGGGATAAAAATGCTTCACAATGGAGGCAACATCTAAACTAATATTATGTGGGAAGGAGCAGCTCTCAAAGAAAAGGAGCAGCAAGTGCAGCAGGGAAATTTGGAGGAGGCTGAAAGGCAGCAAAGTCAGGCTACAGATTTTGGGCTTTACCATGTCATTCAGGAATAGCAGAGTTCTTTCAGAATGGGATGACAGGGTCATTTTTCAAATGACATGAGTGTAGAAAACAAAGAAATGATAGGGAGCCTTCTAAACAGACATTAGAGGTTTATTCAAAAAGAAATGAATTCTGTTGAAGAATGAAGATGCGAGCACCAGGCTGAGGAAGCATTTCTGAAATACACTTAAGGTCTTAATGGCTAACTGGATATGTGAGAGAGCAGCCATGGAAGGCTCCACCCTTTCTATCCTGAAAGGCCAACAGTGGCTTCCATTGATAAAGGAAATGAACAAAGATGTTCCAGGTTTGGGGCATATATGATGAGGAACATGAAAATAGGTTCACTTTAAAATACATTAAGTTTGAAAGGTTTATGGGATATTTAAGTATTTAAGTGAACATTGAAAGCTGGAAGTGAAACTCAAAAAGCTAGCATCATATAGGATGTGAGTTCTTAACTTGGCTCCAGGGATCTCTGTAGGGTTATACACCTCCTGATTCACAATTTTGGATTGTTTCTTTAGATGTATACCCAAATACACCTTCTCCTGGATTGATGGTCCATAGTTTTCTGTCTCATTCTGAAAGCAGCCTGTGTTCCTTAAAAGGTAAAGAGCCACTAAAGCAACTGAGTATTTGGAAACGATAAGAAACCAGAGAGAAGAAGCAATTTTTCCTTTATATGATCATGGACTGTGTTAGCTCTAGTAGCTCTTTTTTTCTAGCTTTTCTGATGTGTCCCACTTTAATGTTTAGGAAGTCAACAGAAAACAGTTTCAGAGAAATATAGAATGAGATAAGCAAACAATTAAAATGATGCATGATTACATTTACAAGCTCCTAGTTATCAGCATGCTTCCTCTCTTTTAAGGTATGCAGTTTCATGCAAAATGATTAAGTTATGAAAACTGGGCAGATATGAACAGAGTTTACTACTAAAATCAAATCAATTTGCAAGGTTAATTGAATATAATTATATGCTTATCTCCCAAAGTCATTAGGCCTAAAAAACAAAAAGCTCACATTTAAAGATTTTTTATTTTATTTTATTTTATTTGGTACTGGGGATCAAACCCAGGGAGATTTGTGCATTGAGCTACATTCCTAGCCTGTGGCTCATGTTTAAATGTGTTTAAATGGATGCAATTATTAATGCTCTTTTATTCAAACCTAATATACGACTTTTCCCTTTACTAGTTTTATATACTAAATATGTTGATAGTTTGCTCTGCCATCATACAGATTTAAGAATCCCAAAGAGTAAGAATTCTGTCCTGCAGCCAATCTTTTCAATAAGCCACAGCTTAGAGCACCATGCGTGGAGGGTGTCTTGGGAAGGCCAGTCTCTATTCCTTGTGAAAAGGACTAAAACTACCCTGTAAACATATTGCTCTTGAGGGAGAAGTGTAATCTTCTGCTGAAAAGCAGGTAACAAAAAGGACAAAAGAAAAAAAAAATCAAAGAATATGATAGGAACAAGAGAGAAAAAGAGTAGAGTCAGTGGGGACTTTCTGAATGGGAGAGTTTGAGATGTGGTGAGCTCACGGCTCAGTTTGCCTTTGGGCAGGTGATGGGTTAGAGGTTATATTCTTTTAAGGTTTGGCTTGGCAACATTTTTAGGATAGGTGCTATACTATCTGAACAGTTTTGCAAATATTGCTTTGCACAAGACAAAACTGAGTTTTAGGACCTTAGGGACAGAAAGCAGAGTTGATCCAGAACTTGGAACAGACATATCTTATAGTTGTTAAAGACCCTCACAATACATGGGGTCTGTTTTTAGGTCTACTATGCAATAGAGGACTGAGGAAAGGAAAACATATTTCTTATAGAAGAACATGCATCAAGACATGCACAGATATATCTTTTCTTTTTTTCAGTGAATGAGAAATAAAGTATGAAGGGAAATGGAAAGTGGTAACCAACTTCATTATTTTATCAAAAGCTAACTTTATTTAACTTCAATTCTATAAACACAAAAATTAAAGACATGCAATGTGCATATATAAGTAACCATATACCCATATGAATATAATTAATAATTCAATGTCTACAGTAAGCTTCAGAGATAACTTCAAATATATATTTTTCCAGTGGAAAAGGAGTGAAATAAGTGTGGAACTAGTAATAGATGTTAGAGATCACAGGTGCCTTTTGAAAAATAAGTTTATGCCTACACAAGACTCTTCTGTTTATTCGGTTAGTTACTTATTCAGAAATTCAAAGGAACCACTGCAAGAAAACCTGAGACCTAAATGAAAAGCAGAATGTGAAATGTTTTAAGCTACTTACATTATTACAATAAAATGCATAAAATACTCCTGAGACATAGCAGCCCAGTATTCCAATAGAAATTCCTGCATAATCTAATGCCATCCATCTTCGACAGGTTTTTTCTGACCGATGGCAAGAAAAAAGATGATATCCCACAGAGCAAAGCATACAGACCTATGGAAAATAAAAAGAAATTTTAACAAAATGAAACAAAAATAAACTAAAGTAATTTATGCATGATATTCAGGGAATTGGTTAAGGATACAGGCTTTCAGCTTTATCAACTTAGCAAGGCCCTAAGCAATTTAGTGAAACCGTGTCTCAAAATAAAAAATAAAAGGAGCTGGATATGTAGCTCTGTAGCTCAGTGGTAACACACCCCTGGGTTCAATCCCTTGTACCCTCGCCCCCTCCCAAAAGTGCAGGCTTTTAAGACAGTGTAGGCTTTCAAGTCAAATACATCTTGCTTTGGATTCTAGCTCTGTGCTTACAGTAGGGCAAGACATGTCTTTTCTCTAAACCCCAATTCCCTCATGTGTAAAATGGGGATAAGAATCACAAAAAAGGAAATTTAAAATGATAGCTATTTTATATAAAAATTATGAATAACTTTTTATATAACAATTTTAAACAGAAGTAGGGAAATTACACAATACAAATGTTTTTAAAAATATCACATGAGGGTATTTTGATCTATGAATAAGTTTAAAGAAGCAATACGTGTCCTTAAGAAAATCAAAGAATATAGAACTGTACAATGTAAAAAATATAAGCCCTTCCCACTCAATTTATTCCCCAAAGGTAGCCACTGATAACATTTGTTAAGTATCCTTCCACTTATTTTCAATATATATGCCCAAAAACTGTGAATAGAAGTCTGCAGCCTGGGTGTTAGAGTCTGTAAACAAGTCAAAATAACACCTGGCTTTTTGCCAGGGGAATGTTAGAGTTCCTAAACAAGTCTGGATGGTGCCTGGCAAAATGCCAGAGGGAGTGGTTTGAGAAGTAACAAAAGCAAGCCATTAAGTGTGGAGATTCCTTATTGGTTGACTGATGTATCTAGTTGATGCTAATTAGATAAGCTGTGTGGAATGTATAAATACTGCTCCTGTCCTGCAATAAACGGCTCCTACTCCTGCTGTATCAACGTATACAAGTTGTTCGTCACCCCCCGGTTATTTTGCTGCAGCCGGACTGCCGGCACCTGGGGATGTAGCTCAGTTTTAAAGCACTTGCCTAGCATGCTCAAGGTCCTTAGGTCAATACCCAACAACTACCCTCCCATCCCCCAAAAGGGAAAAAAGCCTGCAAATACAAGATAAATATACTTTTAAAAATTAATCAAATGGACTCACACTATATGTTCTGTTCTGCAACTTGCTTTTTTTTTTTTTTTTTTTACTTAAAACTTCATGGGCATAAAAGATGCACTGTATAAAGTTTACTTTTAAATTCTAAGGTAAACATGGCTTTATTGTCCCCAAATATAATAAATCATGGCTTGCTGATTATAAAGATAAAACCTCTATTCTTGAAAAGATTTTTTAGAAACAAGTAGAGAAGTAGTGCTATAAGAAGTTATATAGTAAAAGTCAGCAAACCATAATTAGAAAATTGAGGAGGGTGTTTGTGAGTGTATCTGTGCATTGTAGGGTGGGACAAGAGGGAGGAAAGGTGAATTACAGAAGAACTATCACCCCTGTAGAACCTAGAGTTCAGCTGATACTCATCAGGAACATACAAGAAGACATGCACAGGTTTATTGGGGGTCCACAAAGAAAAATAACATAATGAAAAATACAGAACCATTAAAGAATGTCCTGTCTTTATTCATTCATGATTATGACAAGTCCTACACATCAGGAGTTTCAACTTCAAAATTATGGAACAGGTGATACTTTAGAAGATTTTATATGTCCCCTCTTACATGGTGTAGATTAGAGAGGCAAAAGGGAGAGGTTACCTCAGAGAGCAATAACAAAAGAGCCTATACTAAGTCAATGGGGGTGTGTATGGAGAAATGGGACAATAAACATTATACTTAGTCACAATTTCATTTCTTCATCTACTGTCTAGAATCCTTACTGGTCTATGGTTTTTTGGCTACTAAGTTACCAAGCAGAGTTTACTATCCCAATTAAACATAACTTTAAAGGTTGATAGTTTTCTAAGATTAGGCTTGTGGTGTGTATTCTCACTGATAGGGAAAAATCTCATTGTCATAGTGTAGAATGATACAAGAATTGGATACAAATCAGGAAGCATGGAATTAGGTAGACATGTAGATGAGCAAGTAGTAGGTAGCTGTCAGGTAGAAATGCATACACAAATGTATGGATGAATTTTAACCAAAATGTCAAGTGTGACTTTTACTTTCTTCCACAGGCTTTTTTGTTTGCTTGAATTTCTACGTAAATATATACATATAGGAAAAATAAGAAACAATAATAGAGCTCATTCAATCGTCGCAAAGAAAGTAAAAGAGGAAAACTATGCATCAAAGGGGGAGGGAAGTAATATTAATAGATATCACAAGTTTTTAAAAAGTTAGCCGATGTTTAATGTGCCCTATTTTAAAAGGAATATGTTATTGTTAAGAGTTCCTTTAAAAAATGAAAAAAAAATTGGCAAAGTGGGTATGTTTCAGTTATCACGGAAAGTTTCTATGGGATACCAAAGGCATACAATTATAGTGTTCAATAATACTATTGAAGATTTTAAGTGCCCCCTTACAAGATGAGGACTAGATAGGCTGAGGTGGGAGATTACAGAAATAACCCTGGGAACAAGAGTCTATACTAGGCCACTGACAGTGGGGGCAGTACATCTAAGCTCATTGGCTTGATAACAAAGTACCCCATGATCTGGCTTCTTCCTGCACATCTTTCCTACCCTTACCTTTTTTGGTTCTTCCAGGATTCAAACATAAAGACTAACATCTGCAAGCCCAGAAAGTGCTAAACTGTCTCCTGCTTTTGGGCTTTTACCTAGTATTTATTCTGCTTAATGCCCTGCGTTACTTTCTTTCTGCACTCCTTCTACATGAGTGCCATGGTCTTATAACATGTTGGTTCTCTGCTCAGCAATGCATCACCACTACCTAGTATAGGGCCTAGAAGTATAAAGGAGGCATTCAACAAATATTTGTTGAACTGAATATAAACGAACTGAATTTGGGGAAAGGCATTCTCAGATTCCACTCTTCTCCAAAATAAAAAGTATCTGTGGAAAGCTTCCAAATCCTGAATTACATTCTACTATTCAAAATGTACTCTACAAATCTGGTTGGGAAGAAAGCACTGAGCAAAAAGAGTGAACAGAGGTGAGAAAAAAAAAAAAAGTCATGTCTTTTAAAAATTAAATGTAAGTCAATATTCATGAACAGATTTATGGTTTACTGTGCTGCCTGCTGATCCGACGAATCCGAAAAACTTGGGTGAACAAGTTAATTAAAATTTTATAATTTAAAAAAAAGTGCTCTTCTTGTAGGGAAGATGTGTTCATTTTTCTTAAGCAGGTTGTACACCATGTGATAGATATATGCAGTAGCAGTTAGAACACGATTTTACTGATTTCCATCTGAATAATCCTAGGCAAATTACTATAATACTTTGAGTCTATCTTTTCTTGGGCAGTTGTTACAGTTATTTAACCCTTTTAGTTTTACAATATATTGTTTTCTCAGGCCAAAATGGAAATTAATATGTATTCTCTTAACTAATATCAGGTGTGGAAGGTGGTGAAGGGATAAAGGACAGGCCTGGAGTAGAGAGAAACACAAGGGATTCTCAAAGTAGATGATATTTATACAACTAACTGTAGATTACAAACCAGTTTATACTTATTTATAGTCATTAAGAGCACCTTAATTATGTTAACTTAAATTTTAAAATGTTAACTATAAATAAATTGACTCATTTCCATTATGAAATTGGAAATGGATCCCCAGAGGTATTTTGAATCTAATCAGGACAAAACACTAAACCCCAGAAAGAGTATAATTTAAAAAATATTTTTTAAAAATTGATTTTTAATCACATAAAAATAATGAGTACTTTTTTCCTCAAAGAAATTTGTTCTAGAAACTGCAATTAGAAAAAAAGGGGGAGTATTTCTGATGATGAAGTCTGGAATACAATGACATGCTATAAAACATTCGGACAGTTGACTTACAGGTTCACCTCTCAAATAGCAGCAACAGGTTAACTGTAGAAAGTCCTGTCTGCTTTTGTCAAGATGAAAGGGGATGATTTTTTTTTTAATTTTCACGTTTTTTGGTATTCTCTGTAATTTTTAAAAATTTAAAATGCCAACAGGACTATAGCCCATATTTGTTTCCTTCTTTAAAATGATCTGTTTGAAAAATCTACTGAATGTAATTTTTAAAGGCATTTTTATAAATCCTTGAAAACAAATGCAAGTGCAATGGAATTAATATGAGAGGCAGAGAGGAACAGAAACTGAAAGTATCTGAAATGAGGCAAGTATAAAAGGATCAAAGGAAATTAAAATTAAAGCAACAGAACATAAGACCAATACCAGAAAAACAAGACAGTAAAATAAAAGCAGAATGAAAAGTAAAGGTATGAAAAATCACAGGTATATTACAAATACGAAAAAGTTAAGAAATTTTCCCAAACAGGTTTTGAGTTGACATTAGTGATCCACTCAATCTGATAGTAAGAGTACAATAAGACATTCATAATCTTATAGCAGAGATGTCTAAAATGATAAAGAGGAGAGAAACAATTTTTTTTCAATCTTTGAAACAGTGAATTCCAAATATACTCCCATAACATACAAATACATGATAATAACAGGCTTTTTTGGTGTTCATTTTATGAAAGAAAATAAGCTGACCCATTTGCCATTTTGGGAGCTCTTCAAAGCAAGTGGTGAGCCACATGCGTAAGCCTGCCTGATGAAAGTTCTCTTCACAAGTAACAGTGTTTGTGAAGTGACTTACCTGGAAGCAGAAAAGACAAATAGAACAAATTACAAAATCTTCTCTGGATGCACTTGCCGAAGGTAACACAGACGTCATATCATATATTCCCAGGGTGAAGAAGAGAAAGAAACCCAGCAAATGACTCCAGATGTTTACCGTCTCATTAGATAAAATAAACAAACTGGAAAGTAAACAAACATGCAGCTCAGATTCATACTGGCTCACTTAACTGTCAGCACTCAAAGGTCAGGGAAAATTTGGGGGAGTTACCTAATAATTGCTACTTTAAGGCCTTAACCCCATCTGTACCATTTAAAATTTGATATGTCATTTAATTAGTCTTTAAGTTTTTCCAAATTTCCACCAATCCTAGCATCTTAACAATTTTTGTTTATTTGTTTGATTTTGGTGCTTAACTCTATTATCATAGTTACAATTTCCTTCCATTACAGTGATTCACATGTAAATTCCTCAGCCTATCAGCTCCCTGACGGCCTGTACCATACATCTCTCCATTCATCTACAAGACACCATTTTTTCTAAGCAGAGTGCCTTGCTCCCATCATTCACTAATGTCTATAGATATGAGTTTGCAGATAAAACATTTTCAAAGACCACAAATAGTATGCATATTTTGAGTAAACTCCTATTGTTAGTTTAGGAGTTTACTCAAAATTTAGCTAGAACACTGACTTTCAATAATCAGTATCTGAAAACCAAAGACTGAATGTTCTTTGATATGCGGATGCTAACTCACAATAAGGGAAGGTGGAGAGAAGAAGCTCAGCAGATTAGACAAAAGGAGAATGAATAAATGGAAGGGAGGGAGATGGAATAGGAAAGAGTAGAATGAATCAGATAACTTTCCTATGTTCATATATGAATACATGACCAGTGTAACTACACACCATGCACCACCACAAAAATGAGAAGTTATACTCCATCTATGTTTGATGTGTCAAAATACTTTCTACTGTCAAGTATAACTAAATAAAATAAAAGTTTTTTAAAAGAACAGTATCTGAAAAGCTGCTTAGTATTATGTTAGGCACAAATTTAAAATACCTTTTTAAGGGCTGGGGATGTAGCTCAGTTGGTAGAGTGCTTGCCTCATATGCACAAAGCCCTGGGTTTAATCCCTAGCACCAAAAAAAAAAAAAAAAAAACTGCAACAAAACAACAACAACAACAACAAAACCTTTCTAAATACTCATTAAATACAAATACAAAGTTAAATAGACCTAGAGAAGCAGAATAAATACAAACTGAGCTATTGGAAAGGTTCCTGAAGAAGTTGCTGGAACAACTCTGCTATAGATGTTTTGAAACCAGACTAGTTTCCAGATAACATGTATTTATCCTTTTCAGGAACAATAGGAGTTTACTCAAAATATGCATACTATTTGTGTTCTTTGAAAATGTCTTGACAACTGTCTGGTTTTAGGTACATGATGGTGGAAAAAAGGTACCCTTCCTACAGAAGTCAAAAGGCTCATTGTTTCCTTCCCATCCCAGCCACAAATTAGCTCTGCAATCATGAACAAGTTACTTTAAAATTTCTGGGCTTCAGTTTCTTCATCTATGAAACAAAGGAACTGGATTACAGGCTGCTGTAACTTCCTTCTAGTTCCTTCCTTAGTTTTGTGAAACGGTTCTTCAGATATGGACAAGACTCATCTGATTTACAGGGAGATGATATAATGACTAAAGATTAAAATATTCTTTGCATTGCTCTAGCAAAATATTATCTTTCTGCTTAAGTGAGGTCTTGATGGTCAATGGTCCAGAAATTCTTATTAGTAAGCATTAATGTATCACTCTTACTGAATTTGCAACAGTTACCATGGCTCTTCTTAACTTTTCCATTGTTATAAGTGATAAGCACTGCAAGGTCTCAAACTATCAAATGATCATCAAGAATAAAGTGAAACTTTATTCTTAGACTTTATCTAGAACAGCATCCACTTTAAAGACTACTTGGGGAGGGAATGAAGGAATGATTTAGAAAACATCTAATTTACAGTACTGTTTTGATAATCAATACTACACTCTGCTTTTTTCTTAAGAATTTTTTATTTTGTAAAACCCAGTATACCTCGATTAACTAGACACGGTTTTTCCATGTTCCTCCCAACTAAAAGAATATTAGCAGAACTGTTAGGATATATAAAACCTCTTCTTACATCCAAAATATGTCCTGGTCACTCTTGAAAGCTGAAAGAAAAGAGGGCAAAGGATAAACCTGGAAAAGATCAAGCTGGTAGGAAGAACATTTAGAAGAATATCCCCAATAGAGGATCTACTATTATTACATGAAAAATTAAGCACCCCCATACTCTACTTCAAAATCAATAATCATCTTCATTACCTTTATCTGTTCAAAATCACTGATGACAATATCACCATCTACTGAGTGCTTCCTACATTTTACATATACAATCACATCTAATTTCTATTACGCCCTAAATCAGATATTTTTATTACCCTCATTTTACAAGTAGAGAAAATAAGGCAAAGTGATTTTACCTTTTGCACAAAGTCCCACAGCTATTAATTGGCGGTTTGAGATACTCAAGTTTTTCTGACTCAACAGCACAAGATCTAATGTTTTATACTTCATTTCCCCTCCATGAGATTTGGGTTCTAAACATCAAAATACTGAGGACAAATGCCAGATGGGTTTAAAATGTTTTAAGACAGTTCACTGCCTGCCCTATTCTAAGCAGGGTTCAGCTCTAATTTCTCATGTAATCACTCATGCACAGGAGGCACTGAGAAGTGAAATAATAATTAGGATTCACAATATGAAGTCCTGTTAGCCATCCATTCAAGCTACAGGGCTGGACAATGATGTCACCTTGTGACTGTGAGTCACAAAAAACACTTTCAAGGCAGGACAAAAGGAAATAAGGATGGAGAATGACCATGCTGGAAAGATCAAGAATCAAACTGTGGTAGCTGCTTGAGCTGTTCAAGAGCCCACATTCCAGCACTGGGGTTTGTCACTACAATGATCTGGAGCTCATCTGTAACTACAGTTGGGATTCTATATTTTAGTACACACAGAGAATTTTGACAGAAAGGTATTCTAAAAACTAGAACAGCAATTTTTCAGATTCTTTTCAGGCTTTCAAGGGAGACTGATTTTAAAGGTTTGGAATGACAAATTGCTTTCTTAGAAATTGCTTCTAAGGTCCTCTACTGGAGCCCCATTAGAGCTCTCTTTGCTACAGTGCTTTTCCTATACAGCATTTTCTACAATGGCTATTATGTAATAGTGTAATTATCTCTTTAATGTATGTAACCCAGACTAGACCTTAGTAGCCCGGTGAGAACAAGAGCCACATATCCTGTTTTCTGAAGGATCTGCTACAGTGCCTAGTTTCTAGCAGGGGTTCCATAAGTGTTTGCTTAATGAGCAAATTAGGGCTTTCTAAATATGTATGTATGGCAATGTGAACTTGTTTCCTATTATACAAGTATTATAGCTGGCCTCAAACCATCTGAATTTCCACAGGGCTGCTCTAAAGTGAAACAAAGCTTAGGTATACATAGGGCAAATAACGGCTCAGCCATTGTCAGTGTGGTCGATTCCAACATGTATCCCAATGAGCACCAAATTAAATCAAGGATGTAAAAGCACTCTGTAAACAGCGAAGCGCCACAGAGAGTTGGCAATTATGATCACTGTTACTATCATTATTACTCCTTGTATAAAATATCCCGACAGGGTTGGAGGGGAGAGAAGGAGGCAGAAAAGAGATGACAGAATGGGGTGGCGAAGAAATGCTGGGCACGGAGCAAAGCCGGGAAAGCGGCTAAGAGACTAAACAAAAAGGGTGTAGGTGAGAGGAGGGGGTCAGATTGTACCTTTTGATACACAGCCTGGAGGGCAGGTAGGCCCGGTAGCCGTCGGTGATATACGGGTTGTCCTTGAGCGACACCGGGATCTGCTCGAAGGTGTAGAGGCGAATACCGCGGGGCACCAGGACCGGCCAGTACTGGTAGCTGCCCAGCTCGATGTAATGTGCGCTCTTCAGCAGCTTCTGATGCATGGTTCCCGGCCGCCGCCGCTCGAGCCTCGGGAGCTCGCCCAGGCCCCGCCTCCCCGGGGAGGGGGCTTCGCCGCTGGAGCCCCCACCCCGGAGCCCGCGGACCGAGCGCGAGGTCCTAAGGCGCAGCCACTGCCCAGGCCCGGCTCGACTCACAGACCCGCCGCCGCAATCAGCGCCGCGGACCCGCCGGCGTCGCGGCCCTCTCTGACGTCAGCACGCCGCGCGGCCCCGCCCCTCGGCCTGGTGGCCCACGGGTTGCGCTCCGGCGCCGGCGAGCGCCGCGTTGGGGCGGTGCGCTGGCCCTTCCCTTCAGGTGAGGGGAGGTGGAAGCGCCGTGCTGTAGGGAATACTAGTAGTTTTCTTCATTTTCTGTTTTTAATTAGAAGCAGTAGTAGCTAAATTTTGAGTATCAAGGGGAAAAGAGGTAACAGAAAAATAATAACTACAGTTGATTCACCCCTGGCTGGTTTATGCCTTGAAAAACACGCACGCGCGCGCGCTTACACACACACACACACACACACACACACACACACACACACACACACGGCACCGTTGAGGTTTTCTAAATTACTACCAGTACTGAGTAGTTGGAGATAGAGGAAACTTGACGCACATGTAATACGAACCCAAACCAGCCCCAACACTTTCACGGACACCATTCCGAGTGTGTTCCCTGACAGGAAAGACTTTCCCAAAGGGAGGTGCCCCTCGCTTCAGGCCCTAAGGGTTCTTGAGGTTCCTAAAGTTCTGTTGAAGGGAGGCACAGATTGGTTTTATGAGAGAAAGCAAGAAGTACAGCCTCTGAGAGGGCATTGGAAAGGAACAAACCAGTTTCACCTTAGCAAGGCATATTTATATATGTAATATCTATAGTATAGAGACATAAGAAGGTAATTTTAGTCCTGTGTTGGTGACTTTGATTTTTCAGATAAGGAAGGTCATACCTGAGATAAGATCTTACCGGAGATATTAGTTGTGTTCTTGGCTCTTGTGCCCTTGCATGAGAGGATTTCAAGCAGGACAGTATAGTAAAGTTTATTAGGGGAAAGGAAGTAGGGAGAAAGGATACTCAAGGGAGAGACTGGGTCCTTTCAGAGAGGATCCACTTTGTGTCCCAGCTTTTATTGGGGTAGGAGGGAGATTGTTGGCAGATCCTACCCAAGTTATCACCCCTGGGCTCTGGACTGACAGACATAAGCTAACCACCTTGAGGGCAACTCTTGGTCATCTTGGCCTGACAAGTTTTAATTGGAATTGGTTTTACAGAATTTATGGGTAGTGGGCTCTGTTCTTAATCATCCTGCTTTTCCAAGTCTGGTAATCTCTGGTCTATGTTGTTTCCATAGGCTCTTGGATATTGTAACCATTAGGTCCTTTTGAGCAACCATATCCTTGTCCTTCAGTTCTTAACCCCTGAATTTATCTATCTTCCTATGGTTGTAAGAGGAGTAGTTTTTAGGGCTGAGATAAGGCAAGAGTCCTGAAATAGTTATCTTGTCAGATCTTGCAGCAGCAGTGAGTCAGGGCTGTTTTTGATTAACCTATTTTCTCTGTACCAAGTATTTTCTTAAACCCCTGACCCAGTAATCATGTCTACCTGGTACTTAACAATTCAACATGTTAATCATTACCTATTAGGGCTTATTTTCCTTTAATTTTTTCTGAAAAATCTATTGATTTCCCCATTAAGGGACTTTGTGAATTTAAAAAGTACTACATTGGTGTAACATTGAGAGTTTGATTTTAAGAATGTTATGTAGATGAGTAATCAAATCCTGAAAGTAAATTGCAGAGAAGTCTATTTGTTGAGTAAAAGTATTCTTGGATCTGTTTGTCTTTTGGGTCCAGGTCAGGAGAGAAGTTATTTATAGACATGTGGATAAGGTCTAATAATTGATTTAATTAGTGTTGTTTGTGATCAAAGTATGGAGAAGTGGACTTTAAATGGAGACTTTAAAGCATGTGAAAGTGGACTTTAAATAATGACCACTCTTGTTTTTGTCCCACATGTCTTCTTTCTTCCTGTCCTTGTCTTCTCTCCTACCTCATGACCACAATAGAATTAAACTAGAAACAGGAGAAATTTTTAATTGAAATAGTATACCAAGTATGTGGACTGAAGAAATCACAATGAAATAAGAAAATCTATGTAAGTGAATGATAATAAAGGTAAAACATCAGAAGCCTGCAGGGCACAGCTATTGCAGTGCTTTAGAGGAAAAAATATTACTTTGTTTTTGGCTAGAAATTGTAATACAAATGTTTAACCATAATGGCAGCAGGGGGAAATATGATTTGTATGTTAAGCCCTTATCCCATTGTTTGGCATTATAAAGGAAAAATAGAAGTATCTTTTCCTCATCCATTGCAAAGTTTATGGCTGACAACCCTGTTTTTAAAAAAAGAGATTAACAAGAGAAAAGCATAGCAAATTAATTTACCAAAGTTTTATGCAATAGGGGAGTCACATAAGTGAACTCCTAAAGATTCAGGAATAACTGTATTTTTATGCTAAGTCTGATATTAAAAAAAAGAGTGGCTAGTTGTAAAAATACATCATTGGGAAAAAAGGACATGATCTGTTCCCAATACATTGAGTGGAGAACCCAGCAAGACCTCAGATTATTCTTGGTCTTTGGGTATAGGGCAGGAGTTTTCTGGAATGGGGGACTTGTGACCTACTTTTAGGTAGGGTAGGTCAGAGAATTCCTTTATGATCATGTTTCACACAGAAAAGGGAAGATCAGGAAGTGACCTTTCTAAGTTTTATGGCCTGTTTTAGAGGAATTCTGGCTTCTATTACCTGTCTCAGTGGGGAGAAATTCTAGTTTCTATGACCCAAGTGAGGAGAATGGGAGAAGGAAAAAGGAAGACAGGAGAGATCTTGTTTGGGGGACTACTTAGTTTTTGCAAATCAAAGAACTCAGCATGCAACAGCAATGTATTTTGGGTATTGTGTTCTGAATCCCCAATAGCATAAAATAACCATTCATGATATTTATTATTTATTTATTATCATGTTAATGATATTTGTTATTTTTTGAGAAGCATTATGGCTTAGTGGTTAAGATTTTGAGCTTTGAAGCTATACTATCTGAGTTTGAATTTCTATTTAGTCATTTGCTAGCTTAATGTATCCTTGTGCAAGTTACTTAATCTAAGTTTTCTTATTGATAAAATGGGGATAAAATAGTACTTTGTTTTATGAGATTAAAGGAATAAACCCATGTGGGACTCTTAGAAAAGTTCCAAGCATATTGTCAGTATTCAACAAAAGTTTGCAAAGAGTTCAATGAAAAATAAAATTAATAGAGAAAATTGGAAAGGCAAATTGACATATATTCTAAATGGATTTAAATGTCATATAAAAGAAGTGAGACTTATTCTTTAAGTCACAAAGCAAAAATTTGAGATCTCACTGTGTGCCTCGTATATTATCTCTGCTGAAGATTATTCTGTATAGAATTCTTGTTTCCTAGTGGAACAAAATCATGTCTGAGCATTCCTGCCAGCCACTCTTACAGACTCATTATGGGAAGTAATTTCTGAATGTATTCTTATTGATACTTCATGATACTACCTTGTGACCAATGATACCCAAAGATGAGCCAATAACCCACGAGATATCCTGCCTCAAATGCTTATACAAGAAAAATGGTAATTGGTTTGATCAATCAGGTCTTTCTGGTGACTTTGAGTTGGAGATATGGGAAGAGAATCTATAGGTTGGCATTTGAATTGCAAATTGAAAAATGCCCAGAGATTATCAGATAGAGACAAAGTAGCTTAGTTATGGTAAGATGGGACACTAGGTTAAAAAACTAAAAATGAGAGCAGTTTTGATTTCAACAATGTACTCAAGCAGCCTATTGTAACATGACTTTTGGGTTGATTTCAATAATTTACAGCCCATTTCATTTCTCCCTGTTCCATTTAATCTTTAAATTAAGCATTCTTTATCACCCACACTTAAAATAGATATTAATGAAATGCATGGATAAATGTGAAAAGATAGAGCAACAATCCATGTCTGAATTTTAGAGTGAGAAAGAGGTCTATGAACAGAATGAACTTTTCTGCTCAGGTCTGTAAGACAGTAGAGGCACGAGCAACACTGCTTTGGGGGCACTTATACATAGGATAGCAAAGAAATGAGAGCCAGAATTCCCCATAGATAACAATGTAATTGTGGCACTTCGGAGGGTATGACTGTTCATTCATAGTGCTTAAAAAAAGTCTTGAGTAGCATTCCTGGTGACGTACATGGTAGAACACCAGCACCTGTTTGATAGGTGGGGGATCACAGTGGCATCCAGCAGGAGATCTTGGTCCCTTTTGAAGTGGCAGGATGGGGAACTGAACTGTCCAGTAAGAGAAACGGCAGAATGGAAAAATGGCATCATCCTATGATGAACACTTGGGAGTCACATCTGGGTTTTAAATGTGCTTCAGGTGGTGAGGTGGGATGGGGAGGAAATCCTCAAGGAGATGGAGTCCTGTATTTCTAAGAGCCAGGGAAATTTGAATTTTTGCTGCTGCTGGGAGCAGTCCTTATCCCACAAGCATATGAGGGTTATGGAAACCTCAGTGTGTCTTGTTTTATACTACGATTTTCAGTGAGACCCTGATAGTCATGGAGGCAGCATGCATGCATCATTTAACATAGGAAACATCCCTTCTTCCCTTTCTTGAATATCCTTTCTGCCTTGATATAGCTCTAACAATGTGAGAGTGAGACTTACGCTTATTAAAATGGACACAACATAGAACTTTACATTTATTGAGTTCTGATTATATGCCACGCATCTTGCCACGTTGATTGCTCCTCCATTAAACTCTTTTTTGAACTCTTAGAACCATCCTTACTTGGATGTTTTTCCTTATCTCTCTGGCCTCTCCATCCAGGTGACTTTGGTAGGTGCTATTTCTCTTTTTAGTTTGTAAGGCAGGATTTTTTTAGATTCTTTCTTTGTTTTCTTAAAATTACATTTTTACTCTATATATTTTCACAGCTTCACTTACTATCATTAAAATGAAGACTCCTAAATCTATATTTTCATACCAAATCTCTTTTCTGTGTATCTGAATTCACTTATAGAAACTAGACATTGAAACCTGAAATGTTGAAAATGAATTCTTTTTTTTTTCCCTATATGATCTGTTTTCCAGGGCTG